AGACGTATTGTTGAGTCGAGTACGTGAGACCTTCATTGTGAATTATAGCGTTTGTTATAGCGTGACTGTGGAAATTAAGTGTATTGCAAAGTTGTATTTAGAAAGAATAAACCAGTTTATTTAAGAAAGGACTTGTATCGCTAAAGTTTCTTCGGAAAGAAATTATACGGAAAATTAACTAACGACCAGAGACGTAACAATAGCTTAAAAATAACCATAATACTAATATCTATGACAAATATAATGAATTATAATTATGCTTCGTCAGCTTAGAAAAGGCGTTCACACCATAGGTATATATATAGAAATCGATTACAAATCTAAAGACGTCATGATTTCATTGTATAATTAAGTCACTGGTTAGGGTTCATTTGAAGTAATATTTACACTTTTAAACTACTTATCTTATGAAAGACGTTGAATTGTTAGAGACAGCTCAGAGAAGGGCTACTAGGATAATTCTGGGGGTTAAATGGGTTGTCTTATGAGGATAGGTTGAGATCTCATAGATTTTACTCTCTTGAAAAGAGAAGGGTCAGGGGTGAGCTAAATTAAATGTTCAAATTACTAATGAAATTGATTAGAATGTTGCATTACATCGATTTTTGTTGAACTCCAAGAGCTGTAAGACAAAATTTCATAAATTTAAGATTTGGAAAAATTATCCATGAATCTAAATGGTGTAATTTCATTTTTCTTACAGGGTGATAAATCCACGTGTTATATTCACAAATAAACTGATTTATGTGCAAGAATTAATAGATCTGCTTAATAACAGAGAGGAAACTCTATGAAGTGACCTGAATCCAAAAACTAACTGAATTTTACGTTGTGTAAAAAATAAAGGGACTGGACACGTGTGACATAAAGTGAAAACAATTTTTATCATTGACACAACAACAAAGAAAAGCCAGTGTGCATACTTGCACATACTATTAGATAATTGCCTTTATTGGATTTGTGAATAGATCATGGACGATATTTTTTTTCTGGAGATGAATCTCTGCAGGACAAATCATGATGATAATAGCCATGTAAAACTTTTAAACTACCACAGATCTGTACTAATATAGGAAACCTCGATTAATTTCTTTGTAAAAGTGTCACCACGTGACTGGGCATTTTCTCACACCATTCATTGAGTAGAACATGCAAATATCATCCATTTGGCTAGTAAAGGATGCTGTAATCGTTGAACCTTTTCTACACTTATGTAACAAGTTACTGCAACATCCTCATTGGCGGAGTAGATATTATTTGTTATCAAGAACAATAAATACACAAAGGCAACTAAAACAGAATAAGTTCAACAGATTCTTGGACCATATTTTTAGGTCTAAGCTGCATAGAAATGCACCAAATGAAAAATTTTAAATTTCCTATATTAATAAAGATGGTGGAAAACATACGATATCCTCGCATATCACACATGAAACAATTTGTCATATAGAATAGTAAAGTTTGAAGGATTTTAAAAAAAGATATTGTTACGTATCTGCTTGTTTGTTAATTTCCGGTATAAATTCTTTTCGAGAACTTCAGCGATACAAGTCCTTTCTTGATTAACCTAGTTTATTCTTCCTCGATACAAACTTTGTAATACACAGAATTTCCACAGTCAATACCTTCCTCGTTGCGTTAAACTTAACTACTTTTATAAACACACGCTATAATCACAGCGATTCACACCATTTACTAACGGTGCCTACTGTTCGCTTGACTCAATTATCTATCAATCTCTGGCTTTCTTTGCCAGGCTTATTTATTAAAAAAAAAGAGGGCATCTCGATCAGACTAGAGTTGCCAGGCAAATTCATGATCCTTCGAGAAACACCAGCGCACATGCTCTCAGCGTCGCGTGACTTCCGCTGTCGTAACAGTATGATAAATTCTTGGGAAATCAGAGTTGGATTTAAGTGATTTATTTTATGTTTGTTAAAGGAGGTTGGGAATCAAAATTTGATGTTTTATAATTTAAAATTAATATAAATCAAAATTTATAACATTTCAGCTATATAAATGTTATGAAAACA